ACTATCGCACCACTGCACTCCAGCCTGGGTGACAGTGAGACACACTGTCTTTTTTTTTTTTTTCTTCTTGGAGCCAATTCTGTAAAAGGGACACCCTGTCTCTAAAAAAAAAAAGCAAGATGTATTTTCCCCTACCCCACAAAGACCAGTGTGTGCCAGTTTGTGGGTAATAGCACCGTGTTGAGGATGCAGGACTTCGGCATGATGCCCTGAGATCCATCCATGATGATGCCTCAATCAACCACTCATCCCTCTGACTGCTGAGCAGGATTCATGGGGTGGAGGTGCCACAATGTATCTGTCTCCCTAGAAAGGATATTTGCACTTTCCAGTGGGACACTTTATGAATAAAATCACTATAAACATCTGTGTGATTTTTTTTATGAGGACCTAGGTGTTTATTCCTTTAAATATCTAAAAGTGGGATTGCTGTGTCACATGGTAAGCACATGTTCAATCAGAGGAGAAGCTGCCACACATTCCAGAGTGTAGGGAGGAGTCCCCTTGTGCCACATCCTCACTATCCCTTCTGATCTACTCAGTGTTCTTTATTTCGGCCATTCTGATAGGTGTGTGTGGTGAAAACTCATCATGGGTTTAGTCTGCACTTCCCTAGGCACTGAAAATGCTCAGCCTCTCTCTATGTGCTCAGCTGCCATTCATGTTTGGAAGCATGTCTGTTCAAAACTTTTTTTTTGTGTGTGAATACTTCTGATTATTATATGTTCAAAACTATTGCAGTGTGCTTGTAGTCCCTGCTATTAGGGAGGCCGAGGTGGGAGGATCTCTTGAACCTAGGCGTTCCAGGCTGCAGTGAGCCATGACTGCACCACTGTGCTCCCGCCTGGGTGACACAGCGAGACACTGTCGCAAAAAACAAACCAAACCAAACAAAACCAAAAACCAAGACTTTAGCACATTCCTTGATAGAAAATATGAATTAGGGGAGGAAAAGGGAGACAGAAAGACACAAAGAGTTGGAGGGTGAAAGAGAAAACTAAGGGATAGGGTGGGGATCTTGGGAGACTGAGGATAAGCACCTATACTCATGAGCTGGTTGGGGGAACTGGAAACTGACGGGCAATTCTGCAGAGAGAATACGAGCTTTTCCCAAAATTCAAAACAGCCCAATAAATACTTCTTGCCTCTCAAGTGTCCTTAGGAGCACTGTCTGGGTACTAAGAAAAAAGCCCATTAGTGAGTTTCACTTGCCCAAGACAAGGAAGTCTTATTAGTCTCCTCATCTGTAAGATGGTGACAGTAACCTGCCTCATAGGTTACTGTGAGGAGTAAATGAGTTAAATACAGAAAGTATGGAGACTAGTACCTGATACATAAAAAACTTTTGCAATATTAACTACCATCACCATCACAATCATAATCACTACCACCACCACCATCACCACCACCCCAATCGCACCACTATCATCACCACCATTACCATCATCATTACCACCGTCACCACCCCCACCACCATCACCATCATCACCATTACCATCATATCACCACCACCATCACCACTACTTGAAAACTCTAAATCTGCTTTGCCCAAAGTCTACTCTTGGCGACACACTATTGTGTGGACCTTAAATAGGGAACTCAGTCAAGGCTTCCTTGAGAAGATGACACTGAGACCTAGATGTAGTGAGGCAGCCCTGAGCCACTTGGGGAACAGCAATTCAGGTACAGGGAGCAGAGGCAGGTGCAAGGCCATGGTGGTATAAGAAAGCAGCACTGGGCACTGCGGCTGGAACAAGGAGGAATGCAGTAGGAAATGAAGGCAGGGCAGGAACCGGGGCAAAGGTGCATCAGTGTGTGAGTGTGTGAATGTGAGAGCATGCATGCATGTGTGCACATATGTGTGAGTGCATGTGTGTGCTTTTATTAGCTAGGCACAGATCTCATAGTGCCTTGTGGGTCACAGCAAGGACTGTGGCTCCGTAGGCCGCACAGGAGCCCCTGGAGGCTCTGTGTTGAGAATGGCCTGGGGGCGAAGAAGGTGAAGGTGGGAGGCACCCACAGATGCTGCTTCGTGCATTCTGGTCTGAATCCAAGTGGAGTCATGGGAGTCCTGGGAAGTGACGAACTCTGGGTGGAGTTGGGGACTCTGGTGATTTCAGACACAGTGGTAGGAAGCGAGTTTTCAGTGTCCTGTGGTGGGGGTCGGGGGATGAGATGGTAACAGAGATATCTGGAAATTAGCCAACTCAGAGTGTGGCTGTTCTGCGTAGCTGTGCCCTTTTTCGTGCTGCTCTGGTAACAGCAAGGAGGGTGATGATAATGTTGTGTCTGCCTCAGCAGACGGCACAAAGATGAAGTAAAGGAAGACCCAGATGGCCCTTGGAAGAGAGATGTGTAAACTATCACGACTGGAGAGACTAGGAGAATAAGGAGAGATGATAAAGGCAGCAACCCCTAGAGGAACAGGTAAGGGTTTACACCAGCAGAGGCGCCCAGAACAACGTCTGCAGTGGGCATCAGTCACATGACACAGGGCATTAAGGGGCAGTGAACACAAAATGCAAACAGACACAAGTCAGAGGCACCTGGGTGACCCTGACCTCATCATTCTGGGATCCAGCCTGGGAAGGGACTGCTCAACTTCAGAGAGATCCCCAAATTGTCCCCAGTGAAAGGCCTGAGATTTCTATTATTTTCATATTTTTTGAGACGGAATCTCGCTCTGTTGCCAGGCTGGAGTGCAGTCGTGCGCTCTTGGCTCACTGCAACTTCCACTTCCCAGGTTCAAGTGATTCTCCTGCCTCAGCCTCCCAAGTAGCTGGGATGACAGGCGTACACCGCCATGCCCGGCTAATTTTTTGTATTTTAGTAGAGACCAGGTTTCACCATGTTGGCCAGGACTTTTTTTTTTTTTTTGAGGCTGACAATAACTGGTTTGTTGAGGATCCAGGCAGCTGGATCCCCTCATACATTGTTCATGAAACTGATACAACCACATTGGCAAACTGGCAGTATTTACAAAATCTAAACATACGAATACCCGATGACCAACTAATTCCTTGCCTCACCCAAGAGAAATGAGAGCTTATGTGTGCCAGAAGACATGAACAAAACTATCCACAGCAGCTTTCTTCCTGATGGCCCCAAACTGGAAATGACCCAGATGTCCATTCATAGGAGAAAAGATTTTTGCTTTTTTAAAAAAAATTTTTTTAATAAACTTTTATTACCAGAAGATTTAGAATTGAAGGAGAAAAGATTTTTAAAACATTAGCTGAAATGTGGATTTAAAAATATGGATTAAAAAACAAAACAAAACAAAAACAAAGTGTGGCATGTTCACAGAGAGGAATTCTGTAGAACAATGGAGTTTCCTTCACATCCCCAGCCTGTGTCATGATGCATATACTTTCCTGGTTTTGAATGTCACACATGTGGAATTGTCTGTACATTTTGGGGTCTGACTTCATTGTACGCATCATCCTCACTGCTGTGGTTGTGGCTGTGTGTTCCTTTTCATTGTGGTACACAGTAGGTATTGTCAGTCCTTTTGATTTTGTCAGTTTTTAAAATTTGAGCCATTCTTGGGTGGGTGAAGAGCTATTCTTGACATGGAATGACAAGACTTGGTGTGCCAGAGGTTAAGGCCTGAGCATCTAGGGGAGCACAAGCCTGTCTTCTATGCCCTGGTGTGGTATAACAATGTTTCAGTGTGCTCAGGAGGGAAACAGAGACAGCAGAGAAGCTGAGTGCTTCAAAGTGGGCAGAAATGAGACAGGGGTAGGCTAATGGTGAGACTTGGATAATTTTGTCATTGGCTACAAAGGGCAGTGACAACATGATTTACATACGCACACACGGTGGGATATCTGAAATATTAAGCAGATACCCCACCTTAGTATAGCAGGGGCGCTGCCTAATCAGCATGGATGCTGGTCAGGAGAGCATGCGTGTATGTGCTGGCTGGAAACTCGGTCCCGTTCACAGGTCATGATCTTAACCATCAAATAACAAAGCCAAGAAATCCGACAGGGCAGTGCCCGGGAGCACCGCGTTTGCTCTGTGGCTAGAAGGCAGCACACTCAAGTGTCGCCCATCGGGGCTAGTGGTACTCGTGATGGTTTGGGCAAATACAAGTAGTAATCCAGAGTATTCGAGTCAGCATGAAAATACTGAAACGTGGGAGAAGACCCAACCGTTTCCAAGAAATACAAATGGGAACTGGCGACAACTGAAAGAACATAATTAGAGAGGGAGAAAGCACTGCGTTTCACTGAAATATGAAGACACACGTCCTGTCTTCACGTCAGCAACTGCCCCAAAGCACACGCGTTCGAGAGAAAAGAGCGGGGAGGGTGGGGAGGCGAACGGCCCCTCAGAGCCCGCGATCGCACGCCCAGGCCTCCGGGTCACAGCTACTTCCAACTTCGCGATCTTTAAACCCCAGGTTGTTCAGAGAAAAAAAAACAACCTACTTCTCTACAAGTCACGGTTCGAGCCGCACCCGAGGACGCTTCGGGTAAAATCACTCCTTTACCTCAGATATCGGAGTTGGCGGTCCCGCGCGGGCTTCATCTGAGGTAAAGGAGCGATTGAACCCGAAGTGCCTATGCAACACGCAGGACCGCGAGCGGGCTGCTCTCACCTTTTTTTCTCCTTGCAGGGTATCGAGACCCTGGCTAGGGCAGCAGGCGGCCCCGACCCATCTGTCGGAAATGATGAGTGGCTCCCTTCGCCGAAGGCTGCAGGACCGACACCAGCGGGAATGGCAGGTGTCCCGCAGCCCCACACAGCCGCGCTTTAACCCGCTAACCCCGCGTCCCTGCGCGAGGGACCAATGAGCCGCCAGCTAAGTTCACATACCTAGAAAGCCACTTTTGATTGGCTGAGCGCGGGCCAGTCAGTGGGACGGGCGGCGCGCGCGCGCAAGTTGTCAGGCTGTTCCAATGGGTTAAGGTTGGGGTTGCGGTTGGGCTCGGACCGGGGCTGAAGGGAGAGGCAGGAGCCCGGGCGGCCGGGCCTGAGGAACCTGTGTGTGAAAGGGCGCGTCAGCCATAAGAAGCCATACGTGTGCGAGCCGGTCCCCACTGCCCCCGCGGCGTTGTCACCATCATCCTAAGGCCACTGGAGCAGCCTCGGGCGCTGCTGCCTGGGATCCGAACCCGGGGTGCGTCGGGCTCGGCAGGCTGGCACTCAGACCCAGCGCGCAGGATGGCAGGCAAGTACGTCCTCAGTCCTACCCCCGGGTACCCAACACCGCGCCTGTGAGTGCCAGGACCGGCATTGCTCCATGACCTAAGCCTAGGCGGAGCTCTTGACCGGGACCCACAGAAGCCTCACTTACATTGGCACAAGGACAAAAACGCAACTGATGGTTTCACGTAACTGAAAAGGCCAGGAGTAGGCCTTCGGGCATGGCTGTATCCAGGTGCACACTGACCATGGTCCTGGAAAGTTTCTCTCCATCTCTCAGCTTCTTTCCTTCTTACTGGCTTCCCTCGTGAAGGCAAGTTGATCGCCAGGACCTCCTGAGGTCTACATGTTATCAGATTATCATCCTCAACAAAAAGGACATTCTTTTTCCCCAGGGTAGTGGTGAGTTGGGTCCACCTGAACTACAAGGACTCAGATGGGTGTGGGTCCTCCCAGGAATATTGCAGCGCTGTAATGACCAGAAGGGGCCTCGGGTGCTGAGCAAGGCAATGCCCCCATCCTCTGTGTTTTCAGGCATCAGCTGGGAGAGTTGATGCTGGAATCTATTCCTCTAACAAAATATAACAATAATAATAATTGTTATTATGACAGTGAAACACAAAAACATTTGTATGGCTCTTGCAGTTTCCACACTACAAAGCGCTTTGACCTATCACTGCCAGGGAAACAGGGCTTTGCACTCACTGGAGATGCTCTATAGCCCAACTTTCGAGAGTAACACAGGCTGTGTAACCCCAAATGCTTTGTCATCCCAGAGACAAGGCACCTGGGTTTCTATAGTGGAAGGAGGTTATTTAATGGACAGTTTGACGATGTTTTCCTTCAGCATTTCAGTAAGCTGGGGGTGTCTGAGAAACCATCATAGGTGATGCGATTGGCAGCTCCCTGTCCTGGCAAGTTCTCACCAGGTTGGAACGCGCCTGTCTTTCCTGATGCTCCAAGCACAAGTTTAGCTTGAGTCAGCTTGAAGCTGGTTGGCTTGGGAATGCAGGATTCCACCACAGCCAGCCCCCAGGAACCCCTAGACATTGACACGTGAGTGAGCACACACCTGCTTCTAGTGTCAGCCTCTCACTCTTCTTGGGCTCAGAGGATGCCCCCCTGCCCCGCCACCCCTGGGTTTTATTGTTGAGAGTCAGTTCTGAGAAGGCAGGCCTGGGCCTGTGCCCTAGCATCCCTGCCTCCCAGTTTACACAAACCCTGAAACTTCTAAGCTTTCCTCTTCTTCTTTTCTAGGAATAGCACATTTCAAACCTACAAGAAAGAAGAGGGCCTCCCAGGTCATCCGGTAAGGAAAGCAAATCCTCAGCCACTTGGCCCTGACCCCCACATGCCCCTGTGGGGTGAGGAGAGCAGAGAATGTGGGTCCAGAAGCTGCATCCCATGAGAGGATACTCCAAACACAAAAGTATGGTTGCAGGAGCCATCCCTCGGCCTCCAGAAAAGAGCCCCCTTCAACTCCCAGGCCCTCACAGCACCTTGCTGAGTTAAGGAGCCTTGGGAGAACCAGCGGGCCACCTAATGTACCTGCTCTGGGCATCAGCTTTTCCATCTGCTCTTGGAGGTGATGGCAGCCCCTCTCCTTCCTGCCTAAGCATGTTACGAAGGTCCCAGGGGATGAATGTGAAAGCTCTTGTAGACCAGAGTGAGACAGATGGTGACAAAGGCAGCACTCATGTGTCCATAAGCTCTAGAGCTGGTTGTACATCCCCCTTTTCAGAGGAGGACCACGACACTTTCTCATAGTAGCATGGCAGTAAGCAGCTGAGAATCCCAGCATACCTGGTTTGCAGGCTCTGGCGGATCCTCCTCCAAATGATCTTGGAGGCCTCAGAGCAAGCCACGGTAGCCTGCCTCTTTCCAAGCTGCAGTAGGAGCTGGGGACCCTGTCCCTGGACACTGTTTTCCTGAGCATGGATCTACTGTGCCTGAGAGCCTCCTGTTGTTCCTGCAAATGCAGCATCAAGTTCACTTCAGTCTCTTCTGGATCTTACTCAAATACACTCTGGCCCCTGGGCCATTCTCCAAGATCCCATCTGCTGTGAGTGCTAGACCAGATTCGGGGGCTGCCTACCTGTACCAAGAGCAGCAGCAGCACTGCCTTACTGGGTTCCTCTGTCCCTGAGACCCCGAAAGGAGGTAGAGGACTTGAACCAGGAGGTATTCACCTAGGGTCCAGGGTGAATGTCAGGGGACCAGATACCCTTCAGAATTAGAAGTATTGTATGAAATTTTAAGATTTCAGGGAGACAGTTCGTGACTATTATTTTAGTGTCAGACGGGTAATGTGCTGACATTGTAGCAAGGTCTGAGGGAGGCACACCTTACACATGTGCATGAGTACCCAGTTGTCGTGTTTGTGAACTACAAAAGGATCTGTGATTTTTGAACAGATTTTTCTAAAAACTAGACTCCTGGAGGTTTGACTGGCATGTGATAAACTGCATGTATGTAAAACGTACAGTGTGGTAAGTTTTGACGTAGGTATTCCCCCCTGAACCCACCACCACCATCAAGATAATGAACATATACACAACCCTTAACCATATCCTTGGGCTCCTTTGTAACTTTACCTAACATACCATACCCTGACATCCCCCAGGCAATGACTGACCTGCTTTCTGTCACTGTAGATTAGTTTGCATTTCTGAGAATTTTATATAAATGGAGTGATAGACTATGTACTTTTTTCCTGGCTTCTTTCACTTAGCATAATTATTTTGAGATTTTTCTGTGTGATCATGGGCATCAGTAGTCAATCTTTTTAGTATTGAGTAATGCTGCATTCTGTGAATAGACCACAGTTCATTCATTCACCCAGAAGGACATTTGGGTTGTTTCTACTTATCTGTTACACACAAAGCTGCTATGAACATTTGTGTATAAGGCTTTGTATGAATATATGCCTTCATTCTTCTTGGGTAAATACCAAGGAGTGGAATTCCTGAATCATATGGTAGGTGTATGTTTAACTTAAAAAAAAAAAAGAAAAACCTGTTGACTGTTTTCCACCATTTTACATTTCTACCAGGAGTGTCTACAGTTACAGTTCCTCCGCATCGTCACCAATACTTGGTTTAGCTGATCTTTTTAATTTGAGCCATCTTAATAGGTATCTATCTCATGGTAGTTTTCATTTATATACCTATGATAATTGGTGATGTCAAGGATCTCTTCATGTGCTTTTGCTGTCTGCATGTTTTACTTGATGAAGCATCTGTTTAATTGTTTTGCCCTTCTAAAAGAATTGCTTTTTAAATTACTGAGTTTTGATTGTTCTTTATATATTCTAGATACAAATTCTAGATACAAGTTCTTGATCAGAGATTCAATTTGTAAATATCTTTCCATGTCTTTAGGTTGCCTTTTTTTTTGAGACCAGGTCTCCCTCTGTTGCCCAGACTGGAGTGTATAATCATGGCTCTCTACAAACTTGAACTCCCCAGTTCAAGCAATCCCTCTACCTCAGCCTCTCAAGTAGCTGGGACCACAGGTATGTACCACCACAGGAGGCTAATTTTGTTTATTTTTTATGGAGATGGGGTCTCCCCATGTTGCCCGGGCTAGTCTTAAACTCCTGGGCTCAAGTGATCAACCTGTGTTGGCCTCCCAATGTGCTGGGATTAAGGTGCGAGCCACGCTTGACCTGGCTTGTCTTTTTATTCTCTTATCAGTATCTTTCAGAGAGAGTTTTACCTTTTGATGAAGTTCAGTTTATTGGTTCCATATTTCCCAGATTTTACCTAGGTTTGCCCATCCCTAGCACGGCAGTGGATCACGCTTTAAGTGTTATAGCTAAGAGATCTTTGCCAAACCTGAGGTCAAAAAAGGTTTTTCCTACGTTTTATTTTGGAAGTTTTATAATTTTATGTTTTTGCCTGTGATCCATTTTGAGTTAATTTTTATATATGGTATGAGGTATGGACTGAATTTTTTTTTTTTTTTTTTTGAGATGGAGTCTTGCTCTTTGGCCTAGGCTGGAGTGCAGGGACATGATCTCAGCTCACTGCAACCTCCGCCTCCTAGGTTCAAGCCATTCACCTGCCTCAGCCTCCCAAGTAGCTGGGACTGCAGACACACACCACCATGCCTAGCTAATTTTTTGTGCTTTTAGTAGCGATGGGGTTTCACCATGTTGGCCAGGCTGGCTTTGAACTCCTGATCTGCCCGCCTTGCCCTCCCAAAGTGCTGGGATTATGGGCATGAGCCACTGCGCCCAGCCTTGAATTGGATTTGTTGCATATGAAAGTCTAATTGTTGTAATGGCTGTATTTTCTCTGCTGACTCACCTTGACACCTTTGTCAAAGATCAGTCATTGCTGTAGTTTAGATGTTTGTCACCTCAAGCCTCATGATAAAATTTGGTCCCCATTGTTGGAGTTGGGGATGACCAGTGCTGGAGATATTTGGGTCAAGAGGGGGAGGTCCCTCGTGACTGGATTGGTGCTGTCCTTGTGGTAGTGACTCAGTTCTCTGTCTACTAGTTCTCAAGAGAGCTGGCTGTTAAAAAAAGCTTACCGTCTCCTCCCCTCTTTCTTGCTTCTTCTCTCATATGTGATCTCAACATATATATGTGGGCTCCCCTTCACCTTCTACCATGAGAAGAAGCAGACACCCAATCTTGAACTTCCCAGCCATCAGGATCATGAGTCAAATAAACTCTTTTCTTTTTCCTTTTTTTTTTTTTTTTTTTAATCTGAGATGGAGTCTTGCTCTGTTGTCCACACTGGAGTGCAGTGGCATGATCGATCTCAGCTCACTCTGCTGCCCAGGCTGGAGTGCAGTGGCATGATTTTGGCTCACTGCAACCTCCGTCTCCTGGGTTCAAGTGATTCTTCTGCCTCAGCCTCCCAGGTAGCTGGGATTACAGATGCTTGCAACTACGCCTAGCTGATTTTTGTATTTTTATTAGAGATGGGTTTTCACTATATTGGCCAGGCTGGTCTTGAACTCCTGACCTCAAGTGATCCTCCTGCCGCAGCCTCCCAAAGTACTGGGATTATAGGCATGAGCCACCATGCCTGGCCTTTCCCCTATGTCTAATAGCCCCTACTGCTACATACAGAGCTCGGCCATGGTATAACCTGCTCCTCATCCTGTTGCCCAAACCATGTGCCTGGTCCAACTCGCAGCTGAGAGGTGGGACCACCCTGTCTTTCTGCTGGAGAAGCTGCAAGGTCACAGTGCCAAGGGTGGGCTGTAGGGAGGGTGAGGAACTGAGGCAAGAGTGTGATTCACTGTAATTCACATACATGTGATTGCATGCACATTCTTTTTTGAAAAATGCAAATGATAGTGTACTGAACTCACAGTGCTGCACTTTCTTCACTTTACATCCTGCCTCAGAGTTTAGTCCATGTTAGTCCAGACAGCTCTGTCCCATTCTTCCCAAGGCTGCCCATACCCTGTTGTCCAGTGTCTGTCATTTATTGTCTCCTACTGAAAGGCATTCAGGCTGTCCTGTCACTCTTGACAATGGTGCAATGAATATTTCTGTGCATAGGATACCTTGCAGATGTGAAAGTATTCTCATAGGAAACATTCCTGCAAGTGGAATTGCCACATCAAGGGCTGTCCATTTTAGAACCTGATAAAATTTGTTAAGATGCCAGCAGAGCCCTCTTCATAGCTGAGATCACCGAGGTGCAGGGATGCTAAGTGTCGTGGCCAAGGGCCCCAGCTGAAGACCACCAGGCCAGGACAGAACCAGGTCTCCCAATAACAAACTGTGTGCTCTGCCAGGGTACAGGTGCAGATGGTGGGTAGGGAGGACAGGTGAGCCATGGAGATCCCCTGTCTTCCAACAGTGGGAATGTACAGGGCAGACCACACTCCCTTATCTGGAGTGGCTGGGGTGTGCTTGTGGGTGGAAACAGCTCTCCAGGACCTTCCCTGATACTAAGGCCGATCCAGAGGGTCTTCTGGGGGATGATTCCATAGGAGATTCATTGCGGGCATGGCTCCATCCCCTTCTGAACCTTCTCTTCCCTTCCTCTCTGTTAGAGTCAAAAGATAGTTCAATTTTATATCCACCAAGATGTGCCCCTGCCCATTCCACTGCTTTGGGGGCCATCTCCCAAAGCCTAGGGACCAGGTATTGATGCCCTACTGGGTGCCCCAGGTCCTGAGGTCTTAGCAGCAGGTAAGGAGGAGGAGCACACTGCAGTGAGGACTGAAGAGTGAGGTGGGCGCTGGGTGAAGGGGAGACGAGAGGAAGATGGGGAAGAGGGGTGCTGGGCTCTGTTCCCTCAAAGGTCTCTGCTGGTGTCCAGAGAAGATCCCCTAGCAGCTGTGGCCACAGGCCCGGGAGTACAGAGGGCAGGTGTGGCTCAGGGAGGGCCGGCCCTGGTCTCCTGGTGGGCAATGGTAGGGCAGGGCTGCGCTGTTCTCTGCAGAGGGGTGGTTGTTCTGGCACCCACTGCTGCTGCTGCTGTCTTTCCTTCTTCTCTTCCTGCCCCTCTGCACTCTCCCTTACCTCTCTCACCTCCCTGCCTCCTACTTCCCACATCTCTTTCCTTCCCTGGCCTGGCCCCTCCTCTGACTCTCTCACCTGGCCCTGCCTGGATGGAGAGAGGTGGGAAGGAGTGTACCCGGGATGGACCACTACCAGATGGCCTGTCCTCTCTGCTCTTGCTGTCCGTTTCCACAGCACTAATTCTGGGCAGCAAGCTGCAGGCCTCCTCCTAGCTCCCAGGCCTCTCACTCCCCTGCTTTCCCTATGTCCTGTGTGGTAGACAGGGGCTTCCTTCCCCATGACTTCTAGTTGATGGTTTTCCATTATTGGGTGGCAGGCTGTCTCCAGAGAGAAGAGCCCACAGGCCTCATAAGGAAAAGCCCATGGCTTTATCCTGAGCTGGCCAGCGCCCCTCCTGGAGGTTCAGAGTCCTGGTCACTGGGCTCTCCACTTTGGAGGATTGCTGGGCTGACATGCTTGCTGTCATTCTTGTCTTTTAGGTGTGAGGAGGCAGGAGAGTTTGAAAGGCATCCAAGGTGTGCGTGTGTCTCCTGTCATCCCCCTCCCCAGAAAGGTCCATGAATGTCATGGTGGGGGGTGGACCTCTCATCCCCAGACACCTGCCCACAGTGTGACAGTGACATACATGTGGCTTCCCCTCCCCTGCTCACCAGCCGTCCCTGGTCACCTACTATCTTTCCCCAGTGAGCCCAGAGAAGCCTCTGCTCTACAGGCAGACCCCACGCATCTGCCAGCATCTGCTCTCTGGATTAAACCGGCTCCCAGCATGGACTTAGATGAGACTTCAGGTGGTTTTGTTAAGCTCTAATCTGCTATAATTTATGATGTAGTATGTGTGTGTATACATATTTATGACATAGTACATATTCCTATATATATCCTATTATATACTCATACATTCATATATTCATGGTACATCGTATATTCAAAACACAATATTTATCTATTCATTACCTAGTATGCTCATATATTCATATATTTGTGACCTAGTGTAGGTACATTCACATGTTCATGATCAACATAATATATACTCACATTCATGCATTCACAATACACTTTATATTCGTATGAGGGGGATTGAAAAAGTTCATGGAAAATGCATATAATATGCCAAGTGCAGTGGCTCACACCTGTAATCCCAGCACTTTGGGAGGCTGAGGAGGCTGAATTGCCTGAGCTCAGAAGTTTGAGACCAGTCTAGGCAACGTAGTGAAACCTTGTCTGTACTAAAATACAAAAAATTAGCTGGGCATGGTGGCACGTGCCTGTAGTCCCAGCTCCTTGGGAAACTGAGGCATGAGAATTGCTTGAACCCGGGAGGCAGAGGTTGCAGTGAACTGAGATCACACCATTGTACTCCAGCCTGGGCAATAGAGTGAGACTCTGTCTCCCAAAAAATAAAAATGTGTATAATAAAAAAAATGAAACAATGTATGGATTCCAATTTTTTTTGCACCAAACTAAACTCATACTAACTTGTTATAACATACCTGAACAGGATTTGTTTTGAGATGCTAAGAAGGAAAAGACATCAGTTTAAAAAGAGCCCCTACTGGCCAGGCATGGTAGCTCATGCCTGTAATCCCAGCACTTTGAGAGGCCGAGGTGGGCAGATCACAAGGTCAAGAGATCAAGACCATCCTGGCCAACATGGTGAAACCCTGTCTCTACTAAAATACAAAAATTAGCTGGGCGTGGTGGCACGCACCTGTAGTCCCAGCTACTTGTGAGGCTGAGGCAGGAGAATTGCTTGAACCTGGGAGGCGGAGGTTGCAGTGAGCCGAGATCATGCCACTGCACTCCAATCTGGTGACAGAGTGAGACTCTGTCTCAACAAAAAACAAAAATTAGCTGGATGTGGTGGTAGTCCCAGCTACTTAGGAGGCTGAGGCAGGAGAATCGCTTGAACCTGGGAGGCAGAGGTTGCAGTGAGCTGAGGTGGTGCCATTGCACTCCAGTGTGAGCATCAGAGCGAGACTAGACTTCATCTAAAAAAAAAAAGCCCCATCAGAGGAACATGAATTCTGGTAAAATTGAAGCCAGAACAAACATCATGTTTATGGTGATGTTTGGGTAGAACAATGGTAAAATCATTGATGCTTTATGACAAGTTTATGAGGACAATGTACCACAGAAATCAGCAGTTTACAGATGGGTAACTCATTTTAAAAATTGATGAGATGATGTTGAAGGTGCAGCCTGCAGTGGCAGACCATCCACATCTGTTTATGAGAAAAAATATTCATCTTGTTCATGCCCTCAAAGAGGATTACTGAAACAAACTCTAGCCAACACCATAGACATCTCCACTGGTTCAGCTTACACAATTCTGGCTGCAAAATCAAAGTTGAGCAAAACCTTCCACTCAGAGGGCATCAAAACCATTGTGTCCAGATCAGCTGCATACAAGGACAGAGCTTTCAGTGGAAATCTTAAAGAAGCATGATCAAGATCCTGAAACATTTTTTTTGAAGAATTGTAACAGGAGATGAAACATGGCTTCACCAGTACCATCCTGAAGACAAAGCACAACCAAAGCAATGGCTACCGAGAGCTGAATGTGGTCTCATCCCAGTAAGAGTGGTCAGGTCAAGAGCAGAGGTTATGACAACAGGTTTTTGGAATTCTCAAGGCACTTTGCTTGTTGACTTTCTAGAGGGTCAAAGAACAATAACATCTGCCTGTTATGGGAGTGTTTTGAGGAAGTTAGCCAAAACTCTAGCAGAAAAATACTCTGGAAAGTGCCAGGAGAGTCCCACTCTCCCACAGCAAGGCTTCCGCTCATTCCTTTTGCCAAACAAGGGCAACTTTGTGAGAGATTTGATGGGAAATTATTAGGTATCCACCTTACAGCCAAATTACAGTCCTGATTTGGCTCTTTCTGACTTGTTTCCTCATCTTAAAAAATCTTTAGCAGGCACCCATTTTCTTCAGTTAATAATGTAAAAAAAAAAAAGACTACATTGATGTGGTTAACTTCCCAGGACCCTCAGCTCTTTCAAGATGGACTAAATGGCTGGTGTCATCACTGACAAAGGTGTCTTGAGCTTGTGGTGCTTATGTTGAGAAACAAACTTGATTTTTTTTCTTTTTTTCTTTAAAAAAAAAACACTTGATTTTT